GAAACCCTGTATCCATTTCACAACTCTCTTTCACCCTCCCCCGGCCCCTGGAAACCACCATTCTGCTTTCTGTCTCTAAATGTGATTACTCTAGGTACCTCATATGAATGGAATTCTGTAGGATATGTCCTTCTATGACCGGCTTATTTCATTTAGCATAATGTCTTCAAGGATCATCTGTGTTGTAGCGTGTGTCAGACACTGGTTTTCAAGTAAGCACTGGTTTGGTGCCATGTTCCGTAGCCACATTTTGGGAAACTCTGCATTGGGAATAGAGTGACTAGCCAGGTGGGCTCTCTGGAAAGAGGAAGAGTAATAGCAGCTCCTCCCTAATGGGCTTCTGGGGGAAGAAAAGAAATAGAAAGTGAAGCACGAAGAGGAAGAAGGCTGTACAAATGTTCCCTCTCGTTCCAGGAAAAATTTCTCAAAATATTGAATGGTTTCTGTCTGAGGCAGACCTTTATGTTAGAATTCGCATGGCTAGCTTACAGCTTGTGCATATGGCTCCGTTTTGTGCATCTAGTAACTTCAGCTTGGGCCATAAAACTGCATTGCTGAGGACGAGAGATTATTCTGACAAGAGCAGGAGAAATTAAAAGAGAACTAACGTTTAGAAAGGAAAAGTAGGTTTCCATTTCTGAAATTTATAGGAGTTACTGGTGACAAACTTGTCCTCTCACCATAATCAACTATAAAACTGGAGAAAATACATGAAACGGCAGTTATCAGACTCTGAACAACGGTGCAGGACTGTGATCCACGAGAGATGGGGAACAGAAGCGGGAAGCCCTGTGATTGCTCTCGCTTTCTGCTGGGAAGTATGTTGTTAATGCCTTTGAGTTTGTTGGTGAATGCTGATGTGCACATGTGTTGGGTGAAAGTCCATCAGGCTGGGCAGAGAACTACCAAGGAGCTATAAGCTGAACAATTCCAAGAGTTTACACAGTGCTGGGAGAAGTTCAAGTTCCAACCATTCAGAATGGAGAGCCATAATTGAACACCTAGGAAACTCAGTAGAGACTCAGAAGAGTCACTTTAGTAGCAGACCTAAACTAGCTCTAGAGAAGTTTTCAAAACCTATCTAATAAAACCTAAAAACAAGGCTCTGAAGGATCAAGCTTATCCATGAGTTACTTAACAGCATACCAAAATAAAGTTCAACACTCAAGGGAAGACAGCAAAATCCAGACACTCACACTTACAGTGTCCAGCAGCTAATAGAAAAATTACCAGATGTGCAAATAGGCGGGAAAATGTGACTCATACAAAGAGAGAAACAGGTCAATAGGAAGAGACCCAGAAATGAAATAAGAAGATGGAATAAACAGAAAATGACTTTAAAACAGATATTATAAATATGCTCAAGGATTTAAAGGAAAAGAGTAGTATAAAGGCAGAGAAATGGAAGAAATAAATAACCATGCAATTTCTATGGATAAAAAATTAAATATCTGAAGTGAAAATTTTATTTTCTTATGCAGATTAGTCCCTGCATAAGAAAAAAATCGTTTAACTTGAAGATGTTGTAACAGAAGCTATCAAGACTGAAGTACACCCTTAATGTTTTGAAATAAAAAGTAAATAAATAATCACAAGGAAAAAAAAAGAATTTTGTATTCTCTGATTCACTGTAGAAACAAAGAAAACCATCTTGTAATTCCAGTCCCAGCGCTGTGGAGTCCTTATGGACTTCAGTTATGCTATCAGTAAAATGAAAGGTTTTTCCCTATATCCTTTAAGGTCCCAGGTTCTAAGATTGAGCCCTAAGGTTTTTTTCTTTCAATAAAAGAAAATTGGCAGAAAAACAAAACTGAAGCACAAAGAGGAAAAGACTAGAAAGAGAGAAAAGAGCAGAACCTCAGAGACCTGTGGGACAAGATCCAAGTAGTCTAACTTTCATGTAATTGGAATCCTTGGGAAACGGCAAGGAAAGTATGAGATCTATGTGCCAATTTCGTAGACATGCAGGACACTATCCTGCAATCTAACCTATGAGTAACTGGAGTCCCAGGAAAGGAGGGGGCAGGAAAATATTTGAAAAAATGTTTACCAAATATTTAAAAAAATGTAATGAAGCCAGGTGCAGTGGCTTATGCCTATAATCCCAGTGACTTGGAAGGCTAAGGCAGGAGGATCACTTGAGCCCAGGAATTTGAGGTTGCAGTGAGCTATGATGACACCATTGTACTCTACCCAGGATGACAGAGGGAGACTCTGTCTCAAAAAAAAGTTCACAGCAGCTTTATAATAACCCAAAACTAGAAACAATAAAAATATTTATTACCAGATAAGTGGGTAGGCAAACTTTGATATATTCAAACAATAGACTACAACAAGCAATAAAAGTGAACAAACTATTGATACGTATAACTTGGATGATTCTCAAAACATGTTGAGTGAAAGAAGCTCTACACAAAACATAGAACATACTGTAAGTTTCCATTTAAATGAAATTTTAGAACAGGCAATTAATCCACAGTAAAAGTAGATGAGCGGCGGCCAGGTGTTGTGGCTCCCGCCTGTAATCCTAGCACTCTGGGAGGCTGAGGCAGGAGGATCGCTTGTGGTCAGGAATTCAAGACCAGCCTGAGCAAAAGCAAGACCCCATTTCTACTAAACATAGAAAAAATTGGCCGGGTATGGGAGCACGTGTCTGTAGTCCCAGCTACATGGGAGG